CAGAAGGAACAGCACAAGCTGATGTATCAGGGCCAAGCAGGGTCCATGAGGCTAGCACCCAGGCAGTGATGAGACAGGGCTGAGTAATTACAGGCCACACAGTGAGCCAGCACCATTATTCCAGAAAGTCTTAACTGGAAGAGCTATGCAGTCATCCGTCCAGGCCTCGTGTGACAAATAAGGTATGCTCTGAGCCCCACTGTGGCGGCAAAAAAGATCAGAATTCTCAAGACTGATCTGGCCCCACCACACACGGACTACAGCCTGGCCACAGATGCTCTGACGACCTGGCCGTCCTTCCACACCTGGGAGCCTCAGCGTCTTCCCTGGGAGCCCTCGGTCCTCACCGGCCTGGCTCACGTGGTCCCACTCTGCTCCGAAGCACCTGGCTGACATGGCCACTGATGAGACAGCGAGCCAACCAACTCCTCTCATCGCCTTCACTCTGCAGTCACTTCAGTGAGCCCGGGGCCTCCGGGAGGCGTACCCCTCTCGATCCTTCCACAGGCTCTGTGACCAGCCCCAGAGATATGCAAGGGTAAGCAACAAACGGACAACTCCATAAGACACCAGACCATTTCACTGCTCCTTAAATAATTTAAAATCCTGAACCAGAATGCACATGTCATAGGTAAAAGGACCAGTAGTACTAGAACTACAGACTGGATTCTATCTGAGCTTTGGTTAGAGGCTGGGGGCCACGGGATGCTGGGAAGACATGGCAACTGAGCACTGTGGCCAGCAGAATCCTGCTCTGGGAGTGATGGGCTCCAGGCCCCACTCTATACCCATCTGTAGCTCCTGGTGTCCACAGCGTAAGGTCAGTGGTGCAGACTACGTGACTTCCTGCTACCCTGATGAGTTACAACCCACTTTCCCCAGGAAGAGGGAGAGAGCTGGACTGGGGAAGACATCTATCTTCAAAAGCCATCTAAAACGATGCAGACAAGAAAATATTGACATCATGATGTTAGGGAAATTAAAATGGAAGTAGTCTTGTCCAGGCTTCAGATGCGGAACAGCAAGCCTCTGACCTGCTTCTGACCTGCTTGGTCACTGCCGGGATGACGTGCCTACTCCCCAGCACATCGGTTGTTACCAGTAAATCAAGTGGTACTTCAGATACAACAGAGAGAGGGTCTTGGAATCTCTTGAGACCCTGCAGGTCTGGCTAGCCTCTAGGGTCCAAGAAGTCTCATGATTCACAAAGTGAAACCAAGAGCCTGTCTGAAGCAACTGAGCGTGCATTGTCTGTGTAATGATTTGTTTCTTTTGTTAAGGAATCCTGAAAACCCTAAACAAAAGTAAAACTTTCAGCAAACCACATGATATTAAGTAAAACTGTAGAAGACAGCATGAATTCAACCATACCAAACGCATACAAACCCTATAGTTAAAGGAAAACCAGGGACGAGGCATGCCAAAATATTAGCGCTTGTTATCTCTCTGCAGTGCCATTACGGTGGCTATCTTATTCTTTACTTTTTCCTCAATTGCTCAGATATTCAAAATTACTTTTATAAAAAGAAAAAAAAAGGCACGTCTGTCTTTCACTCTTGGCTGCAGGGCCAAGCCTGGCAGTAAAAATTCTTTGAAAAAAAAAAAAACATTCTCTTTTGCAGGCCTATATTCTTCCCTGGGAAAACCTGGATAATAGTGATGTGCCAAATGGGATAATAGATCAGAGCTCACCAAAATGTCTGTGGCACTTCCAAACAGCTGCTGTAGGAGAATACTATTACTCTTGCTCCTGATTTGGGTATTTAATGATATTTCATGCAGACAGACATATCAATGACAAGGATAAGAAAGTGGGAAAGTAAGGATTTAAGTCTGTTTTCAGATACTGGCAGCTTCCCACTCTGCCATCACTCCCAGCAGAGCAGAGGTGTTACTACTGAAAGATACATCCACAACTGGGGCTAAAAGGACCCAGGACATTAGGGTTCACAAGGCCCTGAACCTAACACAACACACACACCAGGAGCCTAGAGTCATGAACTACACATACACCCGAGCCCCATGCCTGTGCACACAACGCAGAAGTCAACATGCACACACACATACATAGAACCTTTCATGTGCACACACACTCCAAACACAAATAACACCCACACTCATCCCTAAGACCCAACACAGGCGCACACCCCTCAGAACCCAAAGGTACACACACCTTTCAGACCCAGCATGGACACGCACACACCCCTGAGTGCCCACTGTGGGCGCTCACACTCTTCAAAACCCGGCACAGCAACAGACCCCTCAGAATTGATCATGCATGTGCGTCCTTCAAAACCTAAAATGGGCACAAACCCAAGACCCAACACAGGTAAAAACACCCCTGGGAACCAAATTCAAGTGCTCATATGCCTCATATACCACCACACAGGCACACACCCAACAACCCAATACAGATACACACCCCTCAGACCCAACATGGGAGCAGACCCCTCTGAATTCAGCCGGTGCACAACAGTTAGATTCAATACCGGCACACGCACAGCCCTCAAAACCATCACAGACAAGACAACATACAAAATCTAACACACGTACATACCTCTCAGAGCCCAAATGAGCATCCACACCCCTCAGAACTCAAAACACACACACAGACACACACACCACTCAGAACATATATGATTCAGAAACCAGCAGAGATGAACACACTCCTCAGACCCATATGGGAAAACTCCGCTCAGAACCCAGCACAAGCAGACGCCCTTCAGAGCCAACACACACACACCCCTCACACCTAACACAGACAGATATACTACTGAGAATGACTCAGACGCTACCCACAGACACAACACGGGCACACACATGCCTGAGAACCAAAAAGGACTCCACTCCTCAGAACCGAAACGGCACCCTTTCCTCAACTGAACATGGGAGCAAAAACATGAGATCCAATATGTGCAACACAACCTCAGACACAACACAAACACACACTCATCAACCCAAAACAGAAACACACTCCTCAGATTCAACATGGGGGCCCACATGCCTCACAACCAACATGGACAAATACTCTCTGTACCAAAAACGGGCACACACCGCTCAGAACACAACTAGGAAACACAGCCCTCAATGCCAACACGGACACAGACTCCTCGGACCCACTGTGAACACACACCCGTCAGACCCACCATGGACACACACACATTCAGAACCAATGCAGACAAACCATCAAAACCCAACACAGGAACAAACCCTTCACAACACAGACTCAACCCACAGACCCTAGTCACACACACACACATGCCATTCAGACACCAACATGTACAAACACACCTCGAAACCAACACAAGGGGGAAGGAGAATGGGATGGATTCGGAGTAGCATATACATTACCGTGTATAAAACAGACAGCCACTATTTTACAGTGTAAGTTGCTGTATAACACAGCTCAAATTCAGTGCTCTGTGACACCCTAGAGAGGGGGGATGGGGGGGTAGGAGGAAGGTTCAAGAGGAAGGGGACAGATGTATTCCCATGGCTGACTCATGTTGATATATGGCAGAAATCAACACAATAGTGTAAAGCAATTATCCTCCAATTAAAAATAAATGTTAAATAAGTTAATTAAAAACAACACAACCACATACTCCTTAGAATTAACATGGGCACACATAACCCTCAGACACAACACAGGCACACAGCCCTCAGATCTAAAATGAGCACATAACCCTCAGAATTAACACATGTACACACACCCCTCAACACAACCAGGGAACATTACCCTTCAGAACCCACCACAGGAGCAGACACACCCTCAGACTCTACACAGGCGCACACACACATCTCAGATGCAGTAGGGGTAAATACACCGAGCACCCAAAATCAACACACACAGACACCACTCAGACCTGGTACAGACACACATCCTTTAGAATCCGTAAAAGTACAAACACCTCTCAGAACTGAGCCCGGGTAGACACAGTCCTCAGACCCAACAGGGGAGCAGATCACTCAAACTAGTACAACACACACCCAAGAAACAACAGGGACACAACAACACTTAGAACTAACACAGGCACAGAAATGGACATACACACCCTCCAGAACCCAACATGGAAGAAACACACACTCCTCAGAACCAACACAGACACCCTTCAGGACCGAGACGGGAGGATCCACACCCAACAATGACAGGCCTCAGAGCCCCACAGGCACACACATCCGGCAGAAGCCAACCAGGGAGCAGACCACTCAGCACAACCAAAGGTACAGAGCCTCAGAACCCAACGCGGACAAACACCCCTCAGAACCAGCATGACACACAACCCTTAACTAACCCGGGAGCACAGATCCCTCAGGACCCAAGGAAGGCGCAAGCATACGCGGCCTCAACATGGGCGCGCACGCCTCGGAACCTTCGGGACGCAACCATCGGACTCCACAAAGGCACACCATCCCCCAGAAGCCAAGACACACTCACCTCAGAAATACACACACACAACACTAAGAACCCAACATGGTCACAAACACCCCTCAGAACCAACGCTGAAACAAACACACCCTTCATAACCAATATGCACCCACACCCCTCAGGCCCCACATGGTACCACCACACACACACTAACGTGCACACACTCCTCAGAATCGACTCGACACACGTCCCATATAATCAGACAGGACAAACACCCCTCAGCCAACAGGGACACACACCTCTCAGAACCTGAGGGAGCAAGACACACTCCTTCAGACGCAACAAGGGTCAGACCCCTCAAAACCCATCACAGGCACACACATCCCCTCAGAATTCACACCGGCAGACACAGCCCTCAGACCCCACGCGGGTGCGGACCCCTCAGAACGCAACGCGCACCCGCACGACCCACAGCCCTTACACCTCTCGCGGCGCGCACCGCCCAGCACCCCACAGACAACGGCTCAGCCGCGGCAGGCCACGCACGCCTCACACCCGACGGCCGCACGCACCCTCCGGGGACACGCGCCCCCGGGAAGCCCCTGGGAAGCCTGGCCCCGCCGCCCCGCACCTGGCGCAGCGCGGCCTCCGCGGCGCCGCCGTCCCGCTGCCGCAGCTGCTCCCGGAAGCGCGCCACCTGCTCCAGCAGCGCGTCCACGAGCGACGGTGCCGTGTCCCCCTCGAGCGCGGCGAGCCGGGCGCGGAGGCGCGCGATGAGGGCGTCCCGGGCCGCCAGGCGCGGACCGCCGGCAACTTCCGCGCCGGGTCTGGGCAGGGGATGGTGAGGAGGGGGCGGCCCACCTTCCCGGAACTTTTCCCGGCGCGCCCCGCCCTCCGCGGAGATCCCGAGCCCGCCCCGCGCCGAGATGCAGGCCCCGCCCCCACGCAGAGTCTGACCCCGCCTCCCGCCGAGCCTCCAGGCCCCTCCCACACGAAGAGTTTGACCCCGCCTCCCGCCGAGCCTCCAGACCCCGCCCCTCGCGGACACTGTGGTCCCGCCTTCGCCGAGAGGCAGACCCCGCCCCCACGGAGAGCCTGGCCCCGCCTCCCGCCAAACCATCAGGTCCCGCCCCCACGGGCAACGTGGCCCCGCCTCCCGCCGAGCCGCCAGGCCCCGCCCCGCGGTCAGCTTGGTCCCGCCCTCGCCGAGCCGCCAGGCCCCGCCCAAACGCAGAGCCTGGTCCCTCCCCCGCCGAGTCTCCAGGCCCCGCCCTCGAGGAGATCTGGGCCCCACCTGCCGCCCGGACCTTGGCCACCCGCCGGGGTCCCCATCCGCCGGGGTCCCCACCCTCCGGGGTCCTCTTCACCCGCGGGTTCCTGGCCTGTCCCAGCCGCCTCATTGCCTGGTGTCGCTGGAGCTTTCAGAGAGTCGGGCCCGGAGAGGGCTCAAACGGCCTCTATGTCGCTACTGACGGAAGGGAAAGAAGTGGCCCGAGACGACCCCGAGTTTTAGCCCCGAGCGTGGGTCCGGACCCCCGGTCTGCAGGCCGGCTGCCACGCCGAGCCTTCCAGGAACAGCCCGGCGAGGTACCCAGCCCACTAGCGAGACTCCAGTGCCCGCACCCCCTCTCCGAGGTGCAGGAACTGCTCTTAGGGCAGAAGGCAGGAGGGGGCCGGCCCTTTCCCGCCCTGTTTCTCCGTCCCCTCCATCTGCCGGCTCCCAGGCCGACTCCGAGGGGTTTCCCACGGCTCCACGGCTGTTTTATTTTTCAGAGTCCGAGTGCCCTCCACAGTGATGCCCAAGCGCACCTGTGGTCTTGCGAAGGTTCCCTGGCACACCCTCCTCTGCCGGCCCTGCCCTACACTGCTCTCGCCCCCGGGTCCCCTGAGAGCAGCGAGGCTTTTTTTCCCCCTCTATGTAATCCGTAGCCGAGCTTGGGTTGAGCCCAGGGAAGACACTCACAGGCTGGTAGAATCAGAATTATAAGCGTAGCCAGCTCACACCTCCTCCGCTGCAGAGGGAAGGTCAAGGCCGGCTGCCCCCAACCCCACAGGTTGTGCTGTGGGGACTGGGGTGGAGTGCAGGGTACCTGTGCCCGGGCGCGTGGTTAGGGCTCGGAGACACATTCTTGTCCGTGGCACACCTAATAGACTATGAAGCTGAAAAAAAGTGTTAGTCGCTCAGTCGTGTCCAACTCTTTACGACCCCATGGACTGTAGCCCACCAGACTCCTCTGTCCATGGGATTCTCCAGGCAAGAATGCTAGAGTGGGTTGCCATTTCCTTCTCCAAGGGATCTTCCCAATGCAGGGGAAGATCGAACCCCAGTCTCCCGCGTTGCAGGCAGATGCTTTACCGTCTGGGCCACTATAGCACAGTGTAAACACAACTTTTATATGTGCTGGGAAACCAAAACATTCATATTACTCATTTTATTGTGACATTTGCTTTATCGAGGTGGTTTACAATCAGACCCAGGCTATCTCCAAGGTCTACTTGCACTGATGTTAAGTGTTACATGTGTATGAGCTTCCCCTTCTGTCTTCCTGACTCCATTTTAGAAAGTTTCATTTTATTTTCACCACTTCCCGCTCTGATCAACATCTTTCTCTGACAGCATGGCTGATCAAGAGTCAGGGTTGTTGTTTGTCTTTTACCAACACTCAGTAGCCTTTTGTCCCTTGATACCAGGAAGGAACCTTTCCTGGGTGTTGTGTCCCATGTCAGAGGGAAAGTGCACAGATTAGAAACCTATTGTGGTTACATTTTAGTGACAAGGATGGGTGGGAAGGAGATCTCTCAAGTATTTCTCATCTAAAATCTGTTTATTAGAGTAGTGAGTTCAGCAAGGGCACACTCAAAACTGCAGGAATTAAAGAAGCACTTTAGGAAGACTGCAGGCGAAGAAGCATGGAGTAATTAAATAGTATCATTACCTCAAAAGACTGGAGCTGTATGTTTTATCAAATAATACAGCCTGTAGTTTACAAATTCAAAGACTATGAATTTGGATGAAAATCCTGAGTTAGTTTATAATCTGGATGAAACAAGAGAAACTTCTGTGAATTCTGAACCTTCTAAGAGGCCTGATCTAGACATCTTGTGAACGTTGTCTCATCAGACATCATCAGCTGCAGTTCCGGGAAATCTTTACCTTCAGGTCAACCGATAGTGTGCAGGTCCAGTCAGAACTGACGCTTTCTTTTATCCCAGAGTCTATTCCTTGGAGCTTGGTGGCACAAAGGTGGGTTAGCAGCACCTGATAAGGGCTTTACCAGTGAACCCGAAAAGCATCCTTCTGGAGGTGTCTTTTCCAATGGAAGAAGCTTCCAGGTTGCAGTGTGTTATGTTTAAGGCCTTCATCTCCTGAGACTGCAAAAACTGCCTTACTAGAGTCTTTAGTAGAAGCAATTGAGCCTTTGCAATATTGAAGCGTATCCCATCTGCCAAGTCTCCAGTGAGCCGTTAGGCAGTTCAAGAGGGGAGCAGCCAGAGCAGGTGTCCCTGGGTTGCATTTTGGGAGGTGAGACAGAGGAGGTAGGCACGCATTTTGTCAGTGTGATGAGGATTCTGGAGGGCCTCTACTGCATGGGTATGTAGAAGGTTAAAAAGGATCACATGATTATGTATAGGGTGGCTTAGATCAGAAAGGCAGTAGAAAGAATGACTCTGAGGCAAGGGGGTGTCCACGAGCCACAGAGTCCAGCTGTCAGCTGTAATACCTGATGGGCCGGTGACAGTCCCCATGTTTTGGGGTGAGGATCCCACAGACATTCCCTTCTCTCCCACATACAAAAAGGACAAACAAAGCTGGTAATTAGGATGTCCAGGGGAAGGTGACCTCAATGCGATTTCCTTTAAGGCATCAACAGCTGTGTCATCTTGATCCCTTAATTAGGTTTGCTCTGTCTTAATAAAGCATGCAAAGCCATTGGAGAGAAATTGGGACCCCGTTTCAGTAGGAAATGGGGTTTTCTTGCCCAAGAAAACCTTGTAACTGGCACTTAGTTTTAGGTTTCGGGGAGTTAAGGATGCCAGGAAGCCTCTCCAGATCTAAATGTCATCCTTTTTCTGAGATCAGGTGCCCTAAAAATCCATCCTGGGTTCAAGCAAACTGCAGTTCTTTTTGGAGACTTTGAAGTCAGTTCAGTCGCTCAGTCACTCTTTGCAACCCCATGGACTGTAGCACACCAGGCTTCCCTGTCCATCACCAACTCCCAGAGCTTGCTCAAACTCATGTCCATTGAGTGAGTGATGCCGTCCAACCATCTCATCCTCTGTTGTCCCCTTCTCCTGCCCTCAGTTTTCCCACCAGCAGGGTCTTTTCCAATGGGTCAGTTCTTCGTGTCAGGTGGCCAAAGTATTGGAGCTTCAGCTTCAGCATCAGTCCTTCCAATGAATATTCAGGACTGACTTCCTTTAGGATTGACTGGTTTGATCTCCTTGATCAAAGGAGGGAATTCTGTCCAAGGGAATCTCAAGAGTCATTTCCAACACCACAGTTCGAAAGCATCAATACTTCACTCTCAGCTTTCTTTATGGTCCAACTCACACATCCATACATGACTTTTGGAAAAACCATAGCTTTGATAGAGAGACCTCTGTCAGCAACGTAATGTCTCTGCTTTTTAATATGCTGTCTAGGTTGGTCATAGCTTTTACTTTATAACCCTTTAAAGCCAAAAGTTTTAGCAGGTGGAAGCCATCTTCCTACAAGGAGTTTTGAGAAGGTGAACATAGAAGAAATTGTATGTTGTAACAAAGTAAAACCTGCAGAAAACTTTATTATCATTCAAAGCAGGTTTTCAAGACTTATGAAAAGTAAGAAGGGCTTCTGTGAAACCCTGGGGCATTACTTTCCACGATTATTGTCATCCTTTCCACCTGAAAGCAAAAAGATACTGGCTGACCTTATCAACTAAAATGCTGAAAAATCACTCCATAGATCAATTGAAGCAAAAAATTTGCTTCCAGTGGGAATGGACGTCAGTAGTCTGGGGGGGGATGGGAACAACAGGGTATTGAGGGCAAACAATGTTGTTATTGATTGGAGTTTGTGAACAAACCTGCATCCTGGCCCTTGTGTTTTCTCTTAAAATAGAAATATTACAGGGACTAGAACATGGGTCATGAGACCTTGAGCCTTGGAATCTTCTATTATGGGCTTTATACCTTGAAGGACTTCTTTTCTTACAGGGTAATGATTAATTCTGGTTTGGCAGGAATCTATTCAAATCTTAATGAGAGGTGCACTGTGGATTTTGCCAATATCAGTTGGAGATTTTACCCATAAGGAGGTTGGCAGCTGATTCAATAGGGATCAGTGATCAGGGTTTCCAGAATTAGCTCCAGATAAAAGATGTCAAAGGGTCATTTAATTCACCTGGTTGGCTGTTTGGATGGCTGTTGTCAATTTCTAGAATTGTTTTCCCCTTTCGGGGGAAAGAAATTCCAGCATGATACTTTTCCAAGTCTCAGCCACGGGACTTCCTTGGAGGTCCCATGGTTGAGACTCTGCCTTCCAACACAAGGGGTGCAGGTTCGATCCCTGGTCAGGGAAGTAAGAGCCCATGTGTCACAGCTAAGACCCAGCGCAGCCAAAAAAAAAAAGCCTCGGCCAAATAAATTAACGGGCAGAGGAGCTGAGGAGAGAGGGGTGTGTCCCTCTCAAAGGGCCTGAGAGAAAGGGAAGAGGGCAGACGCAGGGACCTACTGATGCCTAGAGGAGGCCCCACGTTGGGCCCTTTAGTACTTTTGGGCAGGGGCTGTTTTTCAGCAGGGGCCTGGGCACCTGGAGTAGCCCCGGTGTCAGTCGGCCCACAGAGGCATTGCTCCCAGATCGGGAGAATGGCTTTCCCGAGCTGGTTACCAGGGAGGGTGAGAAGAGCCCCTAGAGCTCCTCAGAGACCCCATCCCCAGGAGGACATTGGAAAGATGGTGAAAGAGCTGAAGATGCCTGAAATGCTAACTTATAACAGTCTTTTTTCAGTGTCCTGGTTCTTTGCAATTACAGCAGACACTTAAATTTTGGGTTTTTTTTTAGCAGCCTTCATTTGCTGGCATTGAAGACTAAGAATTATAGCACTCTTTCCTTTTGGTGACTCATCTAGGGTTTGAAGGGCTTCCCAGGTGGCACTAGTGATAAAGAACCCGCCTGCCAATGCAGGAGAAGTAAAAGATGCGGGTTCCATCCATGGGTTGGGGAGATCCCCTGGAGGAGGAAATGGCAACCCACTCCAGTATTCTTGCCTGGAGAATCCCATGGACAGAGAAGCCTGGTGGATTATAGTCCTCGGGGCTGAAAATAGTCAGACACGACTGAAGCGACTTCACACACACACACACACACACACACACACACACACCCATGGGTTGGGGAGATCCCCTGGAGGAGGAAATG